GGTGACTGGGGTAATCAGGATGGGTGTGTCAGAGGCGGTGCGGTTGGCGCAGGATAGAGCAGGGTTTAGGGCTGTTGTGCATAGGGTCCCTATGAGTCGGAAAGGACTCGACGGCACATAACAACAACAACAACAACAGTGATTATGTAAATGTTTCCTAGGATCTCCAGTGTTAAACAATATTTTATTTATCTGGTTACATTATAATCAGCAATCATTTGGAGAATAGTTGAATAATTTGGTCACAAATGTTTTGTATACTAAAAGTATCATATTCTAAAAGGGAATAGGGAAAAAAGTGTTAAAAACAAAAATATTTATTTTTTTAAATAAAGGAGGCATTAACTCACAATTCCTTTCATCTCAGACGTTTCAAACTAAGTAGACAAAGCAAGCATTAGTTCACAGAAAGATTAAAGATCTTAAAGGAAGCAGAGAATGCTCATGGTATATAGAAGCCACTTTTAATCACTGTTCATGAGCCAACCAGAGCTTCTGGGCATTTGCTATTTATTTCTTGATTTGAACAATGAGACTGTAACTTCCTTAGGAATAATTATCTAAAAAAATCTTGAAGTTATCATAATTGGTGCAATCGTCTAATATTTTTTCCCATCCCACTGGGAATACTGCTACTGATAACTGTTTTGGTTTAACAGGCAGAAAGAGGGACTATCCTGGGCAACCTTGATATTTGGCCATCCTGACTGTACGAGGCTTTTGCTGAACTTTCAAGAGTGCATTAATAGTTTAGATTTAACACTTACAGTACAAAATGCTACCATCTTTATTTCACAGATCAATGTAATATGCATGAAATATATTTTCAAAGCTCATCAATAAGCAGATAAGAGAGGAAAAAAGAAGCTTAAATGGATCTATTTACTTGTCACCTAATGACTGTGATTTCTAGTGAACAGTAAAGACATGCTTTGTTTCATCCAATAGTCTTTTATTTCTGCTACTCTTCTATACTATAGGAAGCACAGTTACCATCACTAGAATTCATATTACTTGGATAGCATACTGTGTTATTTATGATACTTAGATTAAGTATCTTTTAGGTGAATAGAAAATAGAATTCAGGTAGTCCCTGACTTAGGTAACATATGATGAACTGCATTTACAATCAACTTTTTCTTTTTTTTGGGGGGGGGGTCTACGTCTTTTCATTAGTAATATGTACTATATACAATGTCAAAGTTAGTCCATTTTTCTTAATGTTACTATTCTCAGATGTTCAAAGACTGGAGTTATAAAGATAGTAATAAAGGGTAATATTGTTAAATGAAAAAAGAAAAAAAGTTATTCAGATTTCTCTTTTAAAAGAAAACATCTTAATGTACATCCAAAAACTTCTCCAACAGGGTAAAAAGGGAAGACACAGACTGGGAAAAAGTATTTGGTAATGACATATCAGATAAGGGACTTATATCCAGAATTTATAAAAT